TTTGCATGCAGCGGCGACAATTCTGAAAGACATAAAAGTGTGCCGGAAGACTTGGCGAATTGTGGTCAAGTTTGGATGGCCTTTTGACAAATGCCCCTAGTGAGACTCTAAACCCTAAACCCTAAACCCTACATTCCAAACCCTAAACTGCAGCAGTGAGAGCGTGGGGCTCCACACTTTAAACCCTAGGGCTTAGGGTTTAGAGTTTGGGAGATAAGCGCAAAGCGACAAGCTTTCGCTCGCGCAAAAATGGAGGAGAGAGTTGAGGGTTTAGGGTTTAGGGTTTAGGGTTTAGGGTTTCTGCGCGCAGCCGACTTGAGCTGCTGCCAATCGTCAAGGGTTTGGTTGAGAAGGTAACGCTGCAGGAGCCGCAGGGCGTTAGCAACCCTCGCATTGTCCAGGTAGGGTTTAGGGTTTAGGGTTTAGGGTTTAGGGCGGGAATAATCGAAGGCGGGCAAGCCGGACCCGGTGAAAACGACTGCATGCTTCATTTCTCTTCCGTTTATTATTTATTTATTTATTTATTTATTTGTTATTTATTTATTTATTTATTTATTTATTTATTTATTTATTTATTTATTTTTAGGGTTCTGGCTGCAGCACGGGGAGCCCCATGGAGCTGCACTGCAGCGGCTCCAACCTGCAGTGGCTGCACCGTTTGAAGGAAACAGCAGTGGACCATTCAAAGTAAATAAATTAATAAATAAATAAATAAATTAATTAATTAATTAATTAAAATAAATAAATAAATGAAAATAATTGGTTTAATTGATCGCCTTTTAATTAATCCGGTGGTTCGCCAGTTAATTCGGCGTTTTTCGCGTTTTTCGGCGCCTCATGGCTAGGGTTAAGGGTTTAGGGTTTAGGGTTTAGGGTTTTTGCGCAGGCTGGAGACGAACGACGTGCTGGCGATGCTGCAGCACTACGGAATAGAAGCTGCTAGGGCTTTATATTTAAAAGAGTTTTCGAGGGTTTTTGCTGCTTATGGAATTAAAGTCCACAGTTCTCATTTGGGACTTATTGCAGACTTCGTCACCAGAGACGGAGCCATTATTCCCTTCAACAGGTCAGGGTTTAGGGTTTAGGGTTTAGGGTTTAGGGTTTGGGGTTTAGGGTTTGGGGTTTGGGGGTTAGGGTTTGGGGTTTGGGGGTTAGGGGTGCGAAACTCGTAAATGGCTCTAGCTCTATGATCGGGGGTTTAGGGTTTAGGGTTTAGGGTTTAGGGTTTAGGGTTTAGGGTTTGGTAAGGAGCCCGGTGGGGGGCAGAAGGCTCAGGCCCCGCAGCACAGGGGTTTAGGGTTTAGGGTCTTTTCCCGTCGTTTTTTTCCTGCCTTTATTTATTTATTTATTTATTATTTTTTTATTTATTATTTATTTATTAATTAATATATTTATTTATTTTTAGACTTGGGATTCAACATTGCGACTCTCCTTTTCTGCAAATGGCCTTCGAAACTTCTTTTCGCTTTTTGACGGAAGCTTGCGAAAGAAGTGCTGTTGGTAAATTATTTATTTATTTATTTATTTATTTATTTATTTTCTTTGTTTATTTAATTATTTATTTTATTTATTTATTTTGTTTATTGAGTAATTAATTTAATTACTTTAATTATTTACTCAATTATTTATTTATTTTAATTATTTATTTAATTTATTTAGTTTAATCAATTTAATTAATTTAATTATTTATTTGTTTCCTTTATTTATTTAATTATTTATTTTATTTAATTACTTACTCTATTTATTTGGTGTAATTACTTTAATTATTTTTTTAACTCAATTATTTGTTTAAATTGAATAATTTATTTAATTAGCTTATTAAAATTTACTATTTAATTAATTTGCCAAAATTAATTATTTATTTATTTTGAGCAATTATTTTGTTGATTTTAATTGAATAATCAATTATTTACTTAATTTAAATTAATTGATTATTTAATCAAGTCAAACAGGAAAGTATTTAATATAAATTAAATAATAAAATGTTTAATTAAATTAAATCAACCAATTATTCATTTAATTTGAATTAATTATTTATTTCAATTATATCAATATTCAATTAATTAAAAGTGATAAAATGAAGTAAAATATAATAATAAAATAGAAATAATAAAAGATAATAAAGACAACTAGAAAAAGGAAATGAAAAATAAACAGAAACAAATGCCGAATGCTAAAAGATTTTCTTTTTCTGCTGCTGCTGCTGCTGCTGCTGCAGACAATTTAAAAACTCCTTCTGCTGCTCTTATTGTCGGCAGCCCCGCAGTCATTGGCTCCCACCAGTCCCAGCTCTTGGCCGTGCTGCCAGACTTCTCCGACAGCTAGCTAGCTGGCTAGCTAGCTAGCTAGCTAGCTAGCTAGCTGGCCGGTAGCTAGCTGGCTGCTCAGCTTGCTAGCCAGCTGGCTGGCTAGCTTGCTAGTTAGCTGGCGAGCTAGCTAGCTAGCTAGCTAGCTAAACAACTGCCCAGCTAGCCAAGGTGCCAGCTAGCTTTTTAAGTTTTGTGCGTAATTGCATCTGCGGCTAGCTAGCTAGCTAGCCAGCTAGCTAGCTAGCTAGCTAGCTAACCAGTCAGCTAGTAGCTAGCGAGCTAGTTGCCCAGTCAGCTAGCTGGCTAGCTACCCAGCCAGCTAGTTAGCCACCTGGCTAGCCAGCTAGCTGGCCGGCTAGCTAGCTAGCTAGCTAGTCATCCAGGTAGCCGGCAGCCAAATTGGCTATCTAGCTACGTACCTAGCAGGTAGTCAAGATGACTAGCTAGCTAGCTAGCTGGCCAGCTAGCTAGCCAGCTAGCTAGCTACCTAGCTAGCTAGCGTAATCGATTCTGATTGTTGCTGCTTCGTAATGTAAAAGAAAAAGAAAAAAGCCCAGAGGGACAAAAAGGAGACAAATAAATAAATTGAATAAAATATATAAAATGAAAATAAATTGCCTTTCGGGGAGTCCCCTTGTCTTCAGCCAAGGCAGCTAGCTATCAGATAGCTGCAGCTAGCTAGCTAGCTAACTAGTCAGCTAGCTAGACAGCGAGCTAGCCAGCTAGCTACTGGCTAGCTAGCCAGCTAGCTAGCCAGTAGCTAGCCAGCTAGCTATCTACTGGCTAGCTAGCTAGCTAGGCGGCTTGCTGCCAGCGCAACTAGCTACTAGCTAGCTGCAGTAACTGGCTGGCTAGCTAACCAGCTAGCTACAGGCTAGCTGCGTTAATTAGCTAGCTAGCTAGCTAGCTAGCTTGATGGTGATACCAGTAAGTCGACTCGGTAGACTCCCACCTGCTGTTCAGCTAGCAGCTGCCACTGCTGCTGCTGCCGCTGTTGCTGCTGCTGCTCCTGCTCCTGCTGCTGCTGCTTGGCTAGAGCTGCAGCCAGAGCAGCAGCAACTCCGTTGTGCATTTCAGAAGTTCCTTCATCTGCGGCGCTCAAGTCGCACACGTCATTTTGCTGCTGCTGCAGCAGCAGCTGCTGCTGTAGCTGCTGCTGCTGCTGTTGCTGTTGCTGCTGCAGATACGGTGCCGCAGAGGGGCTGCTGAGGCTGCCAGCAAACTGAGCAATCTGCAGCAGCAACCGCAGCAGCTGCAGCGGGGCAGCAGCAGCAGCCCCTGCTGTTGCTGCTGTTGCTGCATGCGCATGCCAGCAGCAAGCAGCACCCACCAGCAGCTGCCTTGCTGCTGCAGCTTTGCTGCTGTCTGATACTGCAGAGCGCAGCTGCTGCTGCTGCTGCTGCAGCAGCAATAAAATAAGTGTCAGGAACCGCACATCTGCTGCTGCTGCTGCTGCTGCTGCTGCTGGTGCTGCGCCTACTGGTGCATGGATACGGGCAGCGCCCCAAGACAGCAGCAGCAGCGCGAGACTTTGCAAACTGGCGCAGCCATATTGCTTCTGCTGCTGCTGCTGTGGCTGCTGCTCTTGCTGTTGCTGCAGCAGCAGCAGCTGCTGCTGCAGCAGCAAAGCAACGTGGGATGAGAGAAGCAACAGGAGCGAAGTGGGTTGTTTGCTGCTGACCGACAAACGAGTCAGAGCAGCAGCAGCAACAGACGCATGCTCCAGTGCTGCTGCTGTCCTTGCTGCTGCCGCTGCTGCTGCTGCTGCACTTTTCGCTGCTGCTGCTGCTGCTGCTGCTACCTCCGCGTCCACGCCCGCTGCGATGGCCCGGCAAATCCCCAGTATATAACTGAGACGAAAACGAACTCCAAACCCTAAACCCTAAACCCTAAACCCTGAACCGTTAGCCCTAAACCCTAAGACCCCTCACCCGTCTTTTAAAGGCTGCAGAGACTTTGCTGCTGCACTTAAAGCAGCAGCTGCTGCTGAA